CAGGATGTCCATCGGAGTGTGATCTCTCAGAAGACTGTATGTTAGTGTTGGCATGAGAAAAGAGCAGTGCGAGGCAGATGAACTTGTCACCAAGAAAAATGAAGACCTTGCTGTAACGCTTCACCTGAGCGAGGCACTAGCGGTTCAGGCACTGTCGATGAGTTACGATTCACAGCTAAGGACCGTCTTACAACCAAAGCCTGCAGAGACACGCGTGTGACTCAACAGATGTGGCTCTTTAATTGAAGACACATAAACAGCAGCAACACTCGTGTTAGGAAAAAATTACAAGAATAGGTTCACTTTCAATTTCAATTTGTGAGTGTGTATTTAAATGTAATTAACCACACCAAACATGAAGTTGAATTGAAATTTGAATGGAATGACAGGAAGACAAATCCTGATCCACAAACAAACAATAAATAAATATGATAAAATGTTTAACTAAATACACAATTCCACAGGCAGCATTTCTATTCACCCATCCATCCATCCATAAGGTATACAAACCTTCTAACTTTAAGGCCAACAAGTTTGTCTTGAGAAACCCTGCTTTTCAAATTAAAAATAACTGTTATAAGAATTGTAAGCATCAAAACAATGCCCTACCGTATTGCAACGCATCAAAGCAGTCAAACCAACACTGTCAAGTATAACTTTAAGAGGTTGCCACCGTTTAGTAAACTGGACTAGCTTTGGTTCTTTCTGTTGACTTGAATGGTGATGCTTTCCGTTTGTCAGTTGATGGCCTTTCATTTTTAACCAGAAATGTGCATGCTGCTTTTCTGATGTTCATTGAAGTTTTCCGTGTATTTTTCCCGTGTCACTTGAAATGTTTACGTTTTGAATCATTGTTACCAAAGGCGAGACACGTGAGGAAAAAATAAATGATCAGTTGTCATAAATCGCATACCTTTCATTGCTGAACTTTCTATGGTCCGTTACTGGAAAGGAAATTAAATTACTGGTTGATATGTCCCGATCTCAATAGTTTACACACGCTTTTGGTCTGAATTAGATCTCGCGCGGGACGCGCGCTGTCTGTGGAGGTTTGGCCAGGACCGGTTCCAGAATTAAATCAACATATTTTATGTTCCGTCCATTGCCAATCACTGCTATTTCGAGAGTGAATCCCGCATAAATACGCGGATGTCATTCCCGAAACTTTGCAGGGTGTAGCCTGTGTGTCCGAAAAATTAAAGTTTCATACAAATTCTGAATGGATTATACCCTAGAAAGTGCGCAAAGCGCGCTCCCTTTATCACTAAAAATTTTACTTACATTAAAATTTAAATTGCAATCCTGTTTGCTACCTCACATTCAAATTCATTTAATTAGAATTTAAAAAAAAAACTAACTCAAAAGTCAATTAAATTCAGAAAGGTGCATACAAATAAAATAAAATAATGCAATCATCACTTTAATTGCACTTTCTTACACTCAAATGTATTTGTAATAATAATTGTAATAATGTTTGCTACCTCAAACTCAAATGTATTTAATTCAAATTCAAATTTGAATGATGCACAACCCTGGTGGCAATACAGTTGCTATGTCGCAAGACAGTTTTTCCATCCAAGTTGCTCAAGTTGCATGATTTGAGGTCCCACTCATATATAAAACTAAACAGCAAGGCTTAGTTCAAAATATGGCCAATAGCAATAGTTATTCTTGTCATATCAAGCAGCACTAATGAAAGCAGTGTGCAAATAATAGCACTTTATTAAGTTTACCATCTTCCACCGTTCATTTCAGGGTCTTCAAAGATAAAGATGATTTTCAAGAGCTCAGGTTGACAAAGACCAGGAAGAGAAAACCACTCGGCTGTTGCTACGATACCACAATATCAAACACCAGGCAACTGTGAAAATATAATTTGATGAATTCATTCTTTAGAGTCTTATGTAAATAAAGTCACGCTTTGCAGTTTACATAATCCCAGGGCCGCTAATGCTTCTTTGGGGGACTTGAGCCGTCGGCAGTACCCTTTCTGATTAATTGAGCTGGAAATGCATTTGGGATGGGCTTTCCCTGACAACCGGGTTACACTAGTAATACATCACACTCAGAAGTGAGCGGGAACGGGGAGGAGGAGAGATGCCTACAATGTTTAGTTGACTGCGGATTCGATTTAAAGTATTAATACAATCCCATGATTCTTAGCAGCCGTATCGATCTTGTTTGTGTGTTGTTCGGCCAGCGTGTGTTTGGCTGCCGTATTGAAGGTTTGTAATGATGTCTGCAGCTCACATCGATCCCGAACGGGTCTTGAAGACGACTAGTCGCCGAGGGTCTGTCACCACCGGTTTATCTCTCCTTCCTCAAGGCCCTTAACAAATGATTTAGAGTAATAGACATAATCCAATAGAGCAGAGAGTGTTAGAGACGCTCAAAACATGACACTCCTGCAGAAGTGCAGCTAAGTAACTCTGAGATCAACCTGTGTCTAAACCCGCAGAGGAATCCAGACTCCATTAGATTACATATTATTGGATTTTGAGAACATATGCCGCTCCTGTATGGATTGTTATTCCCTGCTGTCTACAGATGAGCAGAAAAAAACTTGTTTGAGACTCTCTTAGTGGTGTTACATAAGGCTTATACATAGGGTCAGTGACCTGACAAACCCCTAATACTAATAAGTACAAGTGTTATAACAATTATATAAAGTATTAAACTTTGGTGTGCAAAACATACCATGACATTTATGCTACATACCTGATTCCTCAAATCATGTGGCTTGTTAAGAAGAGGTGTGCTGTTACTTACAGAAATTTGACAAAAAAATAAATAAATCATGCAAATAAATCCCACTGACTTACACTGACATTCAACAGTTTTGGTTTGGTAAGATTTTTTTTTTAATGGTTATGAAAAGACTTTTATGCCTACCTTGGCTGCATTAGTTTGATCAAAAATACAGTGTAAAAAACCCCCCACTAAAATTGTGAAATATTATTGCAATTTAAAATAACAGATTTCTATATGAATATATTGAAAAATGTAGTTTATTCCTCTGATGCAAAGCTGAATTTTCAGCAGCCATTACTCTAGTCTTAAGTGTCACATGATCCTTCAGAAATTGAATTTGAATTAAAAAAAATCATTCTCAATTCAATTCAGAACAATGCATAATAATAATAATAATTATTATTTATTTATTTATTTATTTACTATCACTTTATTTACATTGACATTTAAATTGTAATCCTGTTTACTACCTCAAATTCAAATTAATTTAATTTGAATTTTAAAAGTATTCTCAATTCAATTCAGAATGGTGCAAAAAAAATGTTTAAACAAACAAACTAAGATTCAAGCAACATTTCTTATCATTATCAATGTTGCTGCTTAATTTTTTTTTGGAACCCATACATTTTACACTTTTTTTAGGGCTAGTTCATGAATATAATGTTTAAAAAAAATGTCTTTACGGTCACTTTTGATCAATTTAATGTGCCTTGCTGAATAAAAGTATGAATTTCTTATAAAAAAAAAAAATTAATTGAAGGAAAGACCAGACTATTGCAGAAACTCGAGGGAAAATGTAGGAAAGATTGTAGGACTATCTGTTAAATAGTAAAGAAGGGAACACAAGACCAGAAGGTTGTTCTGCAAGATGAGACAAAAGATGTCCTGTGCCACAATAAAGATTTACAGCTGCTGCTCCAGACGGTTTGTATCTGTTGTTGTGAATCTTTCATATTTGAAAGACAAGATTACTGAAGCAGAAATCAGATTTGGTTCAAGAGTTCTGGGCTACCGTGTTCGGATATCACCCAGCTTGAGTAATGTTGGCCGTCACTGAAAACTTCACAACAATCACACTGAGACCTTGAAGAAAGAGTCATTCTCCTGTTTGTAACTCTCACTGCATAACTGTCTTTCCCTTTCTGTGGAAGAAGAAAATCTATAACAGAGTCGGGAAAAAAAAAAGCTACAGATGTGCAAAAGTACATCTTGCCATAATGGACATGTCGGTGAATTTTGTGAAAGTCTAGTTGGTTTTAAGGAAGCCTGGTATAATGAGGTTGACTCATGTCCAACACACAGCATTATGACACATTCTTGTGTTCAATATCAGCTCAATGAAACACAACAGAACAGAACAAGTCTCAAGATGCATTTTTTTTTACTATTTTTAAAGCTATTTTTATTAAGTGCACAATAGGCCATCCTTTAACTACACAAAACCTTTAACTACACAAAACCATCATAGACCACACAAAAACCAGACCTAATACACAACAGATGACAATCACAGAGAAGTTCAAAAGGAACTGTCTTGAAATATATCTGTGAAAGCGGTGAATTTCTTACACAAGTGGTGTCATGATGGCTATCTATTTATCTATCTATCGATAAACAACAAGTACATATTTTTTCTAGAATAAAACAGATAATCTCAAAAAGCAGAGCATCAAATGCACTCCTATATTTCCAGAAGAGGATGCACATTTCAAGACACTAAAAAAGGCAGTTTGACACACAGGCCTCAGAGGGAAGCTGGGAGTGTTTGCCAGGGTGATGATGCTGAATCACAGGGCAGACAGTGTCTCTCTTTCTATTAGTTAGCTGAGGGATGGTGAACTCCAGGGAGGTAGACAGATGACGCGCTTTCACTCCTATCATTCTCCCCGCGTGCGGTCGCTCCAGGAACACACGAGATTAAGAGATGCAATTAACTGTCAAAGACAAACAAGTCACGGACTAAGACAACACTCATGAGATTGCTCCATAAATTTCACCGCAAACAAGCCGAGCAGGTTAGAGAAGGAAAGGACGCTAATTTGCTATATGAAACGTCCATAGAGTCTGCGGATGAAGGATGTTGCAGCTGTGCCCTTTTCTGGTTCCATGACTGATTATTTTCACATTTGTGTCAGATCATTTAAGCACAGAAATCTAATCTACTAACACAATTACATGCAAGATACAGTTGCTAAAAGCAAGTTCACCATTTTTCCAACTAATAATATCTCAACCGGTTGTGTCTGCAGGAACCATGGTGAGCAAGGACGCTGGTAAATGCATGCTCACCAACTCTGAGTCTGACTCAGAGGCAACGGCGGCCTCCATGGCCCTGGAGGTCAAAGGATCATTGGACAAAAGCCGGCAGGTGCGCAAGCGCAACAAAGCCCTTCAGGTGCGCTTCAAGGACATCTGCGAGGCGCAGAATGAACAGGCTGCTGCGGCCCGAGGGGGGAAGCCGGTCTACAAGGTGGCGTACCGCAAGTACATGACCGTCCCAGCTCGCCGATCAATCCCCAATGTCACCAAAAGCACCGGAGTGCAAACGTCACCAGATCTTAGGAAGCGTTATCAGACTTTTCCATTTGAGAGGAAGAAAGGACATACGGTCAAGCATGCCGCTGTGGTAGAGAGCTGTAAGGACCAGGACGATGGGTTTGTTATTGATATAAAGAGGGCGAAAGCTACCGAGGCAGGTAGGGAGTGCGTGTCCTCTAAAAATGTGAGGAAAACAAGAGCATTAATGCACACCAGCAAGTGCATCGCAACCATAGAGCAACATCTACAAGCCAGGGACTGCCTGGAGAGAACGGACGGGCCATGCTCGGACGCTCTGGTTCTTCCTTGTCCGACAGATGGGTCCACAGCAGGAACGGACAACTCGGACTATCAGATCTGTAGCGTCAGAAGTAAACCCAGTAAGGGCTTCCAGAGAGACTCTGAAACTCTTGATCGCTCAGGCAAGCTGCATTTGCTGAACTCTGGGGAGAGTGGTGGGAATATTCTGGAGGATTCCTCCTCCAAAGTGACAGGACCCATCGCGTGGAACTCCCTCACGCAGGTGGAGTGCCTGGAGAGTCCATCTGAGCGGAGCAAACGCAAGAAGGCTCTGCAGCTCAATGGCCTGCAGACGCTGCCACGGACCAGTTGCACTACCCAGGTCCAGTGCCATTTGGGCACGCTGTCCGCTCGACCGCTGGGGGCCATGAAGGCGGCGGCGCCGGTGACTCCGGTCTCCTCGACAGCCGTTCCCATGCCAGCGCCTCCATGCAGGGGCAGCACAGGACAGGGAACCCTACGGACGGATAATGAGGCGTGCAAGCAGATAGTGCCTGTCAATCAGGATGGGGATGTTAAAGCGCAGCTCCAGGCCATGGAAAACATGATCAGCTCCAGCCAGGAAACCATCAAAGTGCTGCTGGGTGTCATTCAGGAGCTGGAAAAAGGAGAAGCTCATAGAGAAGGGTAAGACGATGTACATTAACCAGCATGCAAAGAGTACAATGAAATTCTGTGCCAAAAGAACTGCATCAAGCAGAACTGCAATTTCCCATAGGCTTCCCCAAACATGCCAAATGCACTATGTTGAACCACAATGGATTACTTTGGTTGTTTCTATGTATTTATGCATGCCATTCAAGAAACTATTCTAAGACAGAAAACATGATCTCAGTCCCAAGTATTGTTTGGTTCTCAAACTGCTATAGTAGGTCTAATTAGGATGGATGAGTACAGCTTTGGTTGGTTAGCAAGACTTTAAGGGAAGCACTCTTTTTCATATAAATAAAATTATATGCCAACAGAACTGCACCAAACAGTTCCCCACTTCCCCACAGGCTTCCACCAAATTAGTTGAAAGCACCAACAAGCCATAATGCACGTTGTTCACAAAGTTGACCTAAAGATGGATTACTTTGGTTATCTCTATGCGTTCATGCATGGGATACAAGAAACTATTCCAACACATAAAACATTACTTCAGTCACCTGCATTGTTTGGTTCTCAAACTGCTATAGCAGGTCCAATTAGGATAGATGCATCTTTGGTTAGTTAGCAAGACTACACGGTCAACACTCAATTTCTGCGCCAAAAGAATTGCACCAAGCAGAATTGCATTTCCCCAGACATCCACAACTCATGCCAACTGCAATGTGTTGAATGTGCCAATGAACCACGATGTAAATTTTTCGGAAAGCTGACCTAAATATGGATTAATCTGGTTGTCTCTGTGCATTTATGCACAAAATAAACTATTTCAACACAGAAAACATTACTTCAGTCTCACGTATTGTTTGGTTCTCAAACTCCATAGTAGGCCTTATTTGGATAGATGAGTACAGCTTTGGTTGGTTAGTAAGACTTTTGGTTGGTTAGTAAGAAGGGGAGCACTCTGTTTCATAAATATGAAATTCTGTGACAACATAATTGAATTTCCACACTGGTTTCCCCAAACATCCACACACCAATGCACGCTAACTACAATGTGTTGAAAGCGCCAATGAATCACAACGCACATTGTTTGGAAAGATGACTTAAAGATGGATCACCTTGGTTGTTTCTATGCATTTATGCATGGGATACAAGAAACTATTCCAACAACAAAAACATTACATCAGTTTGAGAACCACTATTTGGTTCTATAGCTATAGTAGGTTTAATTAGGATGGATAAGTGCATCTTTGGTTGGTTAGTAAGATTTTAAGGGCAGCAATCACATAAGAATAAGAATACATTTTTGTGCCAACAGAACTGCACCAAGCACAACTGTATTTCCCTAAACATCTACAACTCATGCCAACTACAACTGTACACTGTTCAGAAAGTTGACCTAAAGATTGATTACTTTGGTTGTCTCTATGGTTTTCTAAACATTAAATCAGTCCCAATAATTGTTTGGTTCTCAAACTGACTGCTATATAGGGCTGGGCGATATGGCAAAAAAAAAATAAAAAATTCTTTTCAGAATGTTTGACCGATTCTCGATTTTTAACTAGTCAACTTGAAAATGTAACTACAACATGATTCAAGTAACTTTTTCTTTATTAACCCTCTAGTTAAAGAAATTTCTATTCCAAGTGCACCACACATGAAGTTGTTAACATGATGTAAATGTTAAACAAATCACTTGTTAAACATCTTTGCAAAAAAGATGACTTATTATACGTTCAGAAATAATAAGAGGAAAATGCTTTAAAAAAAATCTCAAAAGTCAAGGTAATTCAAATTCAAAACGACTGAAGGTATATAACACCAGAAGACTTATTAACTAAAAATTTTCTGTAAAAACAATGAACAGCAGCTTTCAGCCTGATGTCACCATGATGCAAACATGAAATTTCAGACATACAGAAGTAGTTCTTTAGAGGTTTTTATTCGATTGCGCTGCTTTTCCATTGTTTTTTCTATGAAACATGTTTGACTGTTGCGCTCGCGTCTCTTGCAGCAACTCATGCATGAAACGGCATTCTAAAAACGCTAAAGTTAAAAGAAGTTCAACCCCCATCTTCCTGCATTTTTTCCTATTCCACTGCCCATGTCGCATCTGTCAACACAAAAGCGCATTCTGTGTGAATGGCACCTAGTGATATATTCTACTATTGTCCTTCACAGAGCGCATCACATCACACGGTTAATCACGTGTGCCGACATGCGGTTCGATCATCGCTTTCTCTTTACGGTTAACAATGGCATATTGTCAAAGTGTCTGATTCTAACGTTTGGTAATATTTCGATTCAAAATCGTGATTCCCCGATTTATAAAAAATAAAATTGTGGCAAAACATTAAATTCTAATTAATCAATAAAATTTGGAAAAAAAATCGCCCAGCCCTACAGCTATATTAGGTCTAATTAGGATAGATAAGTGCACCTTTGGTTGGTTAGTGAGACTTTCAGGGCAGCACGCTTTTTCATATTGATTATTATCACCTTGGACTCAACCTGGGAAATTTGCTGGAGGCCTTCTAAATACCATTTATTTAATGATGCCAAATGCCTTCTACTTTCAAGAGCACCTATTTAATCTAACAATGAAATACTCAAACCTTTTTTAAGAGAGTAGATAAAGGCGATAAAATGTACAAGTACCTCACAAAGGAGAAGATTCCGCGGTATATTTAGATAAAATAAACAGACACCGACTAAATTACACAAGCAGGGTATTTACATGCATAACAGCTGAATATATACGGTCAATGATAAACCAGTTCATTCCCACAGCAGTATATCATGCAAATCAGCCTAAACTCTCGCTTTAAAATATTCCAACACTGCATTTAGCATAACACACCAATTAGTTCAACATTTACACACAAAACTGTACAACATTAAGTTAGCCCCTTATGAGGTCGGTTTGCATGCAATTTAGAGAAACGCAAAACTAAATCTAATGTTTGAGGCTGGTTAGGTTAAGGGAAAAGCAAACCTTGAGTTTGCACAGGAAACAGACTCAATCTCCTGCATATTCACACAAATATTTTCCTAAAGATACTTTGGGATGTAAGCACTGGAATCCTGCCAGGATAGTGATTAAAAACTGCATTAATTACCTGCAAGACTACATGTCTACCTTATATACTTGAAGCACAATTAAGGTCACAGCAAGAGGGTTTTGTAAACAACTGATCCAGAGGATGATCAGGAGACTAGACATCACGAGGATGATTAGAGATCCGCTCAAGCACAAACTCCAAGAATCATGGGACAAAGGACCGCTGACTGATCAAAACAACATATTTTGCATAATATAAACGCATTATCAAGTGCATTATTAATTTTAGGCTGATATTATAAAGACTCCGTGTATAAGCACTCATCTAAACATCTAATGGCACGCTTTACACAAAAACAAATGAAACTCAACCTAGGTTGCAGAGAGGGAATTTTCTAACATTGCCCAAGCAAATGCCTCAGAGGTTTCGTATGAATAATGCTTTTCCAGATATTACACTTCAAGTAATATTTGAATGTGTTCTCAAGGCAATGCAATGAGTTTTCAATTCCCCAGCTCAGGTTTGAGAAAGTGCATTTTCCTGCGTTCAGTCCAGAAAGAGTTAATGCTTGTGTGGATACACAACATTAGTCTCATTCCACACACTCAGAAATGTCATTCGTGTGACAAAAGAGTGTGACTGGAGGACGTAGGTGAATGTATTCATAATTACATCTGTCACATTACCGCTGGCGTGATGTTACTTTTCAACGTGTTCAAAAGCATGCTGCAGACAAAGACGTATGCAAAGAGGTGTTTGACTCAAAAACATGCTACACGATCAAAGGGAATGCTAGTGGTGGTGTAGCTAAACTATGAATCACAGTAAAAAGCGTGGTGTGCAGTAGTTAATGATCAAAAACAAACACTGAGTGATTTTTGGAAACAAACCAACCAAATAATTTCTTTAAAATTTGCAATACATTAAACATACTTTTAGACATGGTCTTGGACATGGTTTTGGTCATGGGTTCTAAATAAAATATAATATTGTTAATATACAAAGGAGAGAAAGTTCTTTCAATAAAGATATATAGCTATGAAGGTATAAGTCAAGGTATACATCCTAATATAGTTTTACGAGAAATTTAACATTTTATACTGTATATTTAATCCATAATAAATTTGAAATCAATAATTTCAAGAATTAAATCAATTCAAGAATATTTAACTCACTAGATTATCAAAAAAGGCATTAAATCATTCAATAAAAATAAAACATAATAAAAAATAAATGTGGTAAATATATGCAATATTAAAAATACTTTCAGATATAACATGAGGTAAAACAAACGGGATTTTTTTTTAAATGAAAAATTTTATATATTTAATCCAAACTAAATATGAAATAAAAAAAAAAATCAAGAATTTAACTCACTGGATTATCAAAAAATAGGCATTACAATATATTCAATAATAAATTAAAATAATAAAAAAGTAATAAAAATAAAATAAGCAAATGAGGTAAATATATGAATTAACTGATTACAATAACAACAAAAACATTAATTCACAAATATTTAATTCAACGGGATATAAAAATAGGTATTACCACATAGTTATTTAAAAATTCGGTTAAAAAATTACATGTTACAGAATACATAAAATATCTACCATATTGCAGCAAAATCTCAGCTGGTTGACATTTCTATAAACCCTCATAACCAGCCCTTGCTAAAATGTGAGGCAAAAAAAAACTAAAATTACATTTAGAGTCCTACAAAAACAAATTTTGGCCAGAACTCATCCATACTGAAAATTAGACATTACAACATATTTGTCACCCGAAGCTTTGAAAATAATTACTTCTGACAGTAACGGTTTCTCGGTGCATCTGTTTAAATGATAATCAATGCAATCTGCACAAATAATATGCAGCCCAATAACATAGGGAGCTTTGTGGGAGAATTCAACTTCTGTCCCAAAGGTCTTCTTTCTCTCTCTCTTTTGGGATACAACATAATTAACTTCCTTTTTACATTCCAACACATTACCTCCTGCGCTGTGCCAGCTGCTCCAGAGGGTTCAGCCTGATCACCGCCGGCAGCCAGAGCCTTGTGACAGACATTATTCTGCCTTCTTCCTGCCCTCCTGTCCAACCTCAGGCTCCCAGCAACAGCACTATACATCACTGTCCCCATTAGGCACGGGAACTAGCCTCAGATAAACCCCACGCATCAGCAAACAGCACATCACATGCTCTCATTAGAGCCAAAATGGCTGTCGGTGTCCCGCTCTTTTACACGATGAGCCCCGCAGTTTGACCTTTTAAGAAGGCCGGTGCAGAGCACAGGATGCAGACAGACCGCCGGTAATGACCGAGTGGGCTGCTCTCTGACAGCGACTACGCAAAATGAGCTCTGGACTGTTGTTACAGACCAAAAAACTGAGTCAGAGTCTCTCTGAGTAACAGAGAAGCAGGCCGTTCTAACACTGAACCGTTCGCTGCACGGTCCGGCTGAGGTCTGAGGCCAAAACTTACCAAACTATATAACTCTGACTTGAAATTTAGCTCTTTCAATGGAAGTCTAGTCACTGTTTTATGCCCAGCAACAATTTTGTATGTTTTAGCAAACCGCTATATGAATTGAAATCATTTTCTGTACTAATCAACAGGATGCCAGAGTTGCTGTCAATACAGCTTAAAGGGGTCATATGATGCGATTTCAAGTTTTCCTTTCTCTTTGGAGTGTTACAAGCTGTTCGTGAATAGATAAGATCCCTGAAGTTGCAAAGACTAAAGTCTCAAACCCAAAGAGATATTCTGTTTAAAAGTTAAGGGGGTCATATGATGCGATTTCAATTTTTCCTTTCTCTTTGGAGTGTTACAAGCTGTTCGTGAATAGATAAGATCCCTGAAGTTGCAAAGACTAAAGTCTCAAACCCAAAGAGATATTCTGTTTAAAAGTTAAGTCTCGTCCACGCCCCCCTAAAACGCCTCGTTTAAACACGCCCCCACATGTCTACGTCACTGTGTGGGAAGATTTGCATAACGCCGCCCAAATGTATACGCAAAGAAAGAAGGCGTAACTTTTATTCTCGCTGTAGTATTGTTGTCGTGGAGACGCTGTTTGTTTCCAAATATGGTAAGGGGCGTAACATTTCTGTCACATGCTTGAGGTATTCAGCCAATCACAACACACTGGAT